TAAAGTAATTTTTTAGAAGGGTAATCACAGCAATCTTTTGGGGGAATCTTGGTCCATAAAACCATATTAATCTAGAAGGATTTCACAGGTCCTCATCTTCTGTGGAAACAAAAGCAGAGCCTCTTTTCCAAGGATCCTTAGACCCAAATTTTAAAGTTAGGATACCTTTCTTAGCAATTCCCAGAATCAAATGTCTCTCTGTAATCCAGATTCTCTTCGTACATTTTATCTTTTTGAGACCTTTAATTCACCCTCCCACCTCCTCTTTATTACTTTTCTGCTGACCAGTCTTTCAGAAGGCGACCCTCAGAGTGTCTCTAGTTCCCAATCTCAACTGTGCCTTCTGTGGCGCCTGCATCATGCGGAATTGCTATCGAGCAAGAGTCTGGGGATGAAAAAAACATATAGACACACACACATCTTCAATTTATCCTCACTATTCTTGAGAATGATCTCTCAGGGATCCCTAGTTTCTGATCTTGCTGGGGCCTCCACTTGTAATACAATGTTTGCTCTACACGCTGTGTGCTACAGTATGGTTCGCAAGTCAGGCAAGGGGTTGGAGATTGAAACACACACACACACACAGACATGGGTAATGCCAAGAATGTCCCAAGAATGCTCCCTCTGTTGTGTTCCAGGGCAGCTTATATATGGTCTCCTTGACTAATGGCCACACCCTAACTCTTAACAGCAGGCCCACCAGAAACCACTCTCCTGCCATCAGGAACTCCTGAGGGTCTTGTGCTCAGAGCGACTGTAAAACCAATTGTTTGCTCAGAGCCACTGAAAGCATAGGAAAACAAGTTGTTTACTCCAGTAGGCAGGGTATCAGAGGAAATTTAGGGTCTTGGAGCTCCACAGTCCCCAACAACTATGGACCAAGCATTCAAATATAGGAATCTATAGTGTCACTTTCTTTTTAAGTTAAATTTATTTATTTATTTATTTATTTTACATCCTGACCACAGTTTCCCCTCCCTCTTTTTCTCCCATTTCCTCTCTCCACCTCCCCTCCCCATATCCACTCCTCTTCTGTTTCTGTTCAGAAAGGAGCAGGTTCTAACAAGACATGGCATATCAAGTTGCAGTAGGACTAAGCACCTCCCCCTTGTAGTAAGGCTGAGCAAAGCAACCCAGTATGAAGTTCCCAAAAGCCAGCTAAAGCATTAAAAACATCCTCTGTTCCCACTATCAGGAGTCCCACAGAAGACCAAGCTATACAACTGTCACATATATGTAGAAGGCCTAGGTCAGTTCCATGCCGTCGCTCTGACTGTTGATTCAGACTCTGTGAGCTCTTATGAGCCCAGGTTAGTTGTTTCTGTTGGTTTGCTTATGATGTCCTTGACCCCTCTGGCTCCTACAATTTTGCTTTTTTGACCTTTAGGTTGAACCCAAATTTCCATTTCTGAGTTTTTATTAATCATGCTCGAACAGGAAGGCTGCTCGTTTGTCCCAGCTGCCCAGAACTGAAATAATCACACAGAAACCATATTCATTAAAACACTGCTTGGCCCATCAGCTCTATCTTCTTATTGACTAACTCTTATATTAATTTAAGCCATTTCTATAAATCTGTATATTGCCACGTGGCAGTGGCTTACTGGCAAAGATTCAGCATGGCTGACTTTGGTGGCTCCATTGTGTCTCTCCCTGACTCCACCCTTTTCCTCTCAGCATTCAGTTTTATCTTCCCCACCTACCTACGTTCTGCCCTATCAACAGGCCAAGGCAGTTTCTTTATTCATTAATGAAAACAACAAATAAACAGAAGGACCTCCTACAGGAACCAACAACTCTGAGATTAAGAGTCTCATACTCTACCAACTGAGCTAGCTGGGCCAAGATGCACTCCTGGTGGGTGGACATGGACCTCACATGCCTGTGGCTGGGGCTTCTGCTTCTGCTGCCCGTTGTGGCCACCCTGGATTTCTGATACCACCATCAGGAAGGAATGAAGGCATAAAGAGGGTTGCCCAGAACTATAGTTCAGTCGTGCACTTGTGCAGCATCAGGAAATCTGTGAGCGGTAGAAACCTGTGGATTCTCATTGTGGGGCAGTCTCCAAATGAACACAGAGTTAGAATTCCAGAGTTCAGATACATGGCTAATACGCCTGGGGATGAGGCTGTGGAATGAGAATTGCTGATCCACCTGATCGATATCACAGGAAAGATGCCAAAATCACACATCTAATTAACAGCACTCAGATCCACATCATGCTTCCATGAACCCAGATGGATTTGAAGTTGTCAAGAAATGCAGCAATTATTCAATATCAGAAGGGAAAATTACGATTGTGACCTGAACAGAAACTTCCCTGATGGCTTTGAAAATAATAATGTGTCAAAGAAGCTTCCTTATTAACCAAAGGTAATGAAACATATTCATAGCATACAGAGGAGAAACCCACATCATGTAAGTACAGACTAGTCCCTGTGTCCAGGAAACACTGCTGAGGAATCCAGAGTCATCTTGATGTGGAATACCCTGAGAGTTAGGGCTTCCAACACGGGGTGCTCTATCTGCAGTGTTCCTGGCTTTAAAGGTACTACTTTCTTTTGAAGGGTTATCTCTACAGAGACTTGAGACTGTGAGAACATCTAAGATTGATGACCTATACCCTGAAGGTATCAAGGACCAAGTGTTCTGCTGTACTTGGTAAAGACATCCTCAATTTCCATTCCAATTCAGGAATCAGTAGTGAAGCTCCCCTTCCTGTTGGTTCTGAGGAGACAAGGTAAGTGTGGTGGGACTTGTATTTGTCTTGAGATATAAAGGTTGTCTTCCCACGAAAGAGGAGTGAAGCTCTTTCTGTAAAGTTCCAAAGGTACTGAAAGTGACAGCAAAGCCCGAATTCTTAGGGTACCTATGGATGCCAGTTCCCTGATCAGCAGGCTGTGCATAGCAGAACCTCTCTCTGCCTCTTCATTACACCTGCAGTTCTGTTTGCTCCAGATTATCAAAAAACACTGCACGCCTGTTAACAAAGCTATACAAGAATCACAAACATCTTGAAAATTTAAAAGAAGAAAAATGAAGTTTACTGTAACCTCACTTCTAGCAAACCAAAATTGTCTATGCATAGTTTACATTACCAAAAAGCATATCAAGATAATAATCAATGATTAAAAACATGGTAGTGTATCTGCACATTGTTTGATGCCCAAATCCAAATAGGAATACATTTACTCAGTCCCTGTTCCTGAGCCTATGTTTTCTGTCAGGCAAAGATGTTTACAGAATCGAGAACAGAATAGAGCTATCCCAAATTCCCAGATTTGTTGGTGGAACTCACAAACTAGAAGATGTTAGCTGTTTAGTTTCAGAGCTGTGCATGGAAAAGACAAGGTGCTCTCAGGACCAGTCCCTTGCGAGATTCTAGAGAATGCCTTCTGACCAAGCAGCTGGTGCGGGGCAGGGAGCAAACAAGGGTAACCCGGAACGTGACTGAATGGACAGTGACATTAAGGTGTGTCCCAGGAACTGGAAACACGGGCAGAGTCAAAATCAGGACTGTTTGCCTAAATGGAAGGCGGGATGAGGACTAGAACGTGGAGGGCAGATTGCCCACATGAGAGCTACAGAGACTCCATGAAAGGTACCTTGAGTTTGTTAGCAGGAGTCCTGATACCTAGGCCAGGCAGGACAACAGAACAGGTACGTTTAAGGGCTGAACCTAACCATGTGATGTCCTGAAAAGCTTCAGATGAGAATGTCCCCCCAAAGGACCCCAATGTGTCTAATATGTCTCTTAGGTAAGTTCTGTGTCAGAAAGAAACAAACCAATATTTTATACTTCGTGAAGTATAAAACTACTGTATTTTTACTCTTTTTGATTCTCCAAAAAACTGCATAGATCAGGCTAGGAGGGTCACATTAAATCCAGGTTACCTATTCTGGTCTCATTCTCTGACCCTAGGGTCCAAAGAGCCCCAACCCACAACTCTGCAACACGGAGGACACTACTTGGACCTCCTCATGCCCAGGTGAAATTTGGTGCACAAACTGGGAATTTGAGAGGCCCAGGGTAAGATCACATATAGGCACAAAGACCTCGGAGGATCGCGTGGACTCAAAGGGCAGGCGGTGCCACTCTATCCAGGCAGTCAGACCTGGGAACCCCTGATATTCAAAGGGCACGGGGCAGATAGAGCCGAGGATGTGCGTGCGCCCCCTGCCGCTTTTCCCTTGCTCCTGCAGCTCCGGGCGGGGCAGGGCGGCTCGCGTGCCGGGGTGGGGCTTTCCTTCTCAAGTCCTGAGGGCAGGTCCCGGAGATGAGAGAGCTGACAGTTCCCGGCCTCTGCGGCTCCCTCAGCGGGCGCGCCCAATCTTCCGCGCCCCGCCTGCCCCGGGTAAGTGCTCCTGGGTTTCAAGGGATCTCTGCTCTTTGCCTCTGCAGTAGCCACTCTGGGATTTTCCTGCTTGGTCCGGGGCTCCTTCTCCGACTCCTTCTTGTGTCTGGGGGACGCAGAATTGCTCAAAGTGGTGGACACTGCAGGGGCGTCTCGCTTGACATCTTTGAGGGAAGCCAGTCAGGTTCCACGGTTTGAGGACCTTAATTTCCCCAACTTGGGTATCTTGTCCCCAACCCACTTCACTCTTGCAATGCAAATGAGCATAACCTGTCCCGCATTAGGGAGTTCTTTGCCCTGGTATCTTTTAAAAGTTTTTGCAGATGCTGGCAAGGGGTGCCCCACAGTCCGCCTCAGCCATTCCCAGTACTGGGGCACCAGGGGCACAGCCAGTGGAAGTGGTGCAGCCAGCTCCTTCATAGAGAGATCAGAGGACAGTAACCTGGGACTCACATTTCGGAGGGAATTACATTCCAGGAATTCACCAGTTAGTGGCTTCAGAAATATCTGTCCCCTCCAGTCTTGAGTAGCAGAAAATTCCAAAGTGCGGCTCCTTTCAGAAAGGGGCAGGAGCCCTAGTGTTGCTGGAAATCTGAGTGGCATGAACCCTGAAGTCCTCAGCTCCTGTGTTGTTCTTGTAATTCCAGTTATGGAACCCTATCCCAGCTGGAGATGACCGTCAGCTCCCGGAACTCCCCACCTCAGGGAGTCTCTTGGAGGAGGCACAAGCTTTACACCGTTCTGGTACATGGGTCCCTCTACAAAAGTTCTATTTTGCAGCTGGTTCCAGGGTTTGGGTTCATGAGATCTTTCTAACTGTGGCTACCCCTTATCCAGGGTGGGAGGTATAGCTTGGCTTCTCAGGAGTGTGTCCAGCTAAACTTAAAGGCCCTGCTCTAGAAGTTTCTGTGTGTACCTTGGGGATTATATCCCAGAGTTTAGGGTACTGGACAGTGTAGCTGGACTTCTTCTGGCCTGGTCAGTGGGTCCATAGAAGGAGACACTCTTGGCCTCAGAGCCTAGTTCACTTTTTCGCCTGCCTTGGTATGAGACCTTGCTGCAGTATGCAGTGACTGTCTCCATCATGGGAAGGTGCTGATTATTCCTGACTGGATTCCATGTTCCGCTTAATGAAGCAGCCTCATAAGGTGTCTGTTGTCAACCATCTTACCGAAGAAGAAATGGGAGTAAACAATTTGCCTGTGCCTTAACAGGACGGGCAGTGTTTGTGTTCAAAACACGTATGTCCTTTCCACCCTGCCTTCCCAGTAGTTGAACACGGTCTCAGGGTTACCATGAATGCAAGACTAGAAAGAAGACCGAAATATTGCTACTATGCACACAGGAGACTGCTTTTTATTTCTACTTTCTAGTTATCTGTTATATAAAGTGAACAACTGTTACTTTTGCTTGAGAAGTTTGGTCAGCTTATGTCTTAGTGGGTAAACGATCCACAGGCCAGAGAGGACAGGCCCTGCTGTTAGCATAGAGTTTTCCTATGAAGAGCACTCACATGTCTGCTGCCCATGACCCCATGGCTCACCTCTGGATACCAAAAAGACCCTATTCTGGGCCACCAAGAGTCCATTGTGGAGGGTCTCCTCAAACAGTCTTCATTGAAAAAATGTCTCCTATCTGCTTCTAAAGTCTGGAAAAGAGATGTAGTTGACCACAGGGAACATTTGTGTGTAGTTGTTCTGATCCTTTAGAGAAGGACACACAACCTTTGGTAAAATAGAGTGGTCAGTTGCAGTGATGCTAACTCTATGCCGGGGACATAGGCAGAGACCAAGGTGCATCAAAGCAGTTGTTTGGAAAGACTTCACGCAGACTTGCTGTGGATGCCAGCAAGTTGCTTCTTGTGCTCTCTACTGTATAGGGTATAGAGCAGCATACCCTTTGTGCTTTTTGAAAGAACCTGCATTTTAGGACAGTTCTTCACATTTCAGCAGAGATATCTAGGAACATATTCCCAGCTAGAGTGATCACCAGCAAGAGGCTGTTTATAAGTGTAGGCAGGCTTATGCCACACCCAGATTGTAGCCCTTGTTGCAGTGCCTGCTGTATGGCTGTATGCAGTGCCTTCTGTTGTTGCCTCTGTGTTCCTACATGCCATTGGTTGCCCTCATTCTAGTTCTCTTCCTGCCCTGGCACTCATTCCTGCCCATGGCAGGAATTTGGCCACCAGCTTGTGGTGCTGGGGCTTGGGTTCTTCTAGGATGTAAGAGTAATCCCCTTCCTTCACTTTATTTGACCCGTAGGGTAGTCCAGTGGGTGGTGTGTGTGTGTGTGTGTGTGTGTGTGTGTGTCCCTCTGAGGGTGTCAGAAAGCATCTCTGGCCTGTTCTCTGGGACCAGGCCTGGGTGTGGCTTGGAAGTTTCCTGTCTGAGTTGTAAGTCCCTTGCAGATGCAGTGAGATGGCTTTATATGCTGGCCTCCAGCCACTGCTTACCCAACCTGGTTTCTTGGAGAATTCCACTGACTAGGCGTGTGGCTGGACATAGGCTGAGACCAGCATCTCACAGGCATTCCTGGGAAGGTGGGCCGTCGGAATGTCATTTCACATCCTCATCCCTTCCCACGGGTATCTCTCGTGCTCCAGCTCATAGCCACACACACTACCCATCCATCCATCCATCCAAACCCTCCTGCTCCTTCATCCCCACTTCCTTAGGTATCCTCCCATTCAATCTGAAGATTTTCCTCTGATCTCATCACAGCTGCAGCTTCCTTCCCGCCCCTATTTTTTTGTTGTTACATTGTAGTAATTTCTTGGCCCATCTGTGCTACAACTTTTCAGGGTTTTCTGTCATTCGGTGCATCATCCTTTTACTTTCTTTTTAAATTAAAAATGTTTTATTTTGTATTTTGTGTAGATGAGTGTTTTGTCTGCAGTGATTGATGAGTGCCACATGCATGTCTACCATTGGTTGTAAGCTACCATGTGGTACTGGAAACCACACCCAGGTCCTCTGCAAGAGTAACAAATGCTCCTGACCCCAGAAACATCTCTCTAGCACTTCTTTTTATTTATTGATAGTGTACTTTTAGGCAAACGTTTTATTTTGATGAAATCCAATTTATCCTCTATTTTTATTTTTTAATTGTGTTTTTAATGCTAAAACTAACAATATTGTCACATTTAAGAACAGGAAGGCTTATATTATTTTGTTTGTTGTAATCCTTATGTTTTTGAGACTGCTGAAGCTTTAACTCTTACATTTAGGTCTTTACTTAATAGTGGGTATTTTTTTCAAGTAGTGTCAGACAGGTGTCCAGTCTCATTCTTTAGCAAGTGGATATTTATTGTTTTGAAGAGACTTTGTCTTCCTCATTAGGTAAGCTTGGAACTATGTTGAAAGTCAGCTGACCACAGTATGACCATTCTTGTACCACACGGTCTCTCTTCTTAAAACTTAAAAACCTACTTATTAATTTATTTGTGTTCTTCAATGGGGTCTTGTTATATAGCTGAAGCTGACCTTGATCAGGATCCTTCTACCTTACTATCTCAAGTTCTGGGGTTACATAAGCTCATAACCAGACCTCTGGTTTAGAAAGCTCCTCTGTCTTTCTAAAATCAAATTCTCTGGAGTTGGAGTTACAGGTGCTTGTAATTCACCTGATGTGGTTGCTGGGAACCAGACTTGGGTCCTGTGCAAGAGTAGTAAGTTCTCCTAACCATTGCACCATTCCTATGGCCCCTTCTGCATCCTTTAATAAAGAAATATTCAAGCCTCTTACAAAGATGAGAAGAATTTTACTATAGCCACTTTGTCCCACTTTGTTTACAAACCAACACAGGTAGCTAATTATCAATACTGGCAGATATGGCTTTATTTGAGCATTATTCTGCCAACCAAGCTGTCTAGACTCCACTTTCCTCCCAAACAATTATGTAGAAGTGAATCCTTTGCATGCTGTATGTGTGTGTTTCTAGAATACTTGTATATTTGTATGACCATTTCTTAGATTGATTCAATTTTCAACTTTAATTTGATTAAATTTAATATTAAGTATTAATACTAGAGCAACTATAAAGGTGCTCAGAACTCAGAAGAGTACCCTGGTGTAGTGGGAGAGTACTTTAGGAAGGTCCTTTTGCAGAGATGGTATTCAAGCCTTTTATGAAAAATGATTCAACCCTACAGGTGGCAGAGGAAGTTGCTAAGTTTTCTAGCCTCTGTAGTGCCAAGCAAGAGCTAAGAGAAAAATTAGTTCCAGAACCAAAATAGAACCCCTTGTCTTCCAGGGTCCCTACGGTGCCCTCTCCTGCAGGCATAACATCATGTTCGCTCTAAATAGAAGTACTCCAAGAACCCAATATCTTCATGCTGAGCAGGCAAAAGTGACTTGGAACCTAAAAACAGCAGGTGGATAGCCAGTCTGTTTCCCAGTATTTCTATACCACCTCTTGGATGGTTTCTTCCGTGTTGACTTTTGGTATACACAACTCATAAATCTCACAATAGACAGTCATTATTGTTGTTTAAACTATCAGCTATTGTTTTATTTATTTAATTTTAAAGGTATGTTGTGTGTATGTATTTGTGTGTGTGTTTTTGTGCATGCACGCACACGTGTGTGCCAGTCAACAGAGGCCAGGAGAAGACATTAGATCCCATGAATTGGGATTATAAATGGTTAAGAGCTTCCTGACGTGGGTACTGGGAACTGAACTCTGGTCCTCTGAAAGATCATCAAGATTTCTTAAGTACTAATCCACCTCTCCAGTACCTCATTTCAAAAATTAAAAACACAAAAGAATTTGAAAGGCAATATGTAGAATTCTAAGTTATATCATCTTTTTTTTTTAAAAGTGCTTTAACTTGGTTCCTTCTGAATCTTTCTGTTTTCATTCATTCTGATGCTGTTGCTATCCTTTATTGTTGTATTTTACTGTATCAAATATTGTAGTGTTTGGATTTTAAAATTATTTTATTTGTCACGGATTATGAGTGAGTTGGATATGAAGCAATTTGGATACTTCAGCGTAATCTTCCTCATGTTTTTTTTTTTTTTTGTGCTTGAGCTTCACTGAGCTGTTTGGGTCTGTAGTTTATAGTTTTCATTATATTAACTTTTTTCTGATATCCCTTTAATCTTTCCTGATTTCTAGAGGCCTACTTACACATGTCAGGACTTTATAAATACTATTTAATTTTTAGTTGGGTGTTATTTTAAATGTTATATCTTTTAAAAAAAACTAAATTCCATTGGTTTATTGCCAGGATATAGTTGTATGATTAACTTTTGTATATTGTACTTTTAGCCTTTGACATTGCTTAATAGTTAATTATATGAAGTTTCTTTGTTTGTTTGTTCTGAGACAGGATATAACTACATAACTTTGATGTGCCTAGACCTTACTATGCAGACTAGGCTGTCCTTGAACTCATAGAGATCTGCCTGCTTCTGCTTTCCCAGTGCTGGGGTTAAAGGCATGTGCCACCAAAGCCAGATTGTAGGACATTTTTCAAAAGTGTTTTTTTTTTTTCTCTTTGGGGGAATTTTCTATAGGTACCATCACATTTCTTGTGATGAGATGAAGTTTGAATTCTTTCTTTCCAAGTTTTATTACTTTTGTTTATTTTTCTTATCTTATTTCTCTGGCTAATCCACAATATGATGTGTGATAGGAGTAGAGAAACACAAAACATGTGTTTGTTGGGGGACGACTTGGTAGGATGCTAACTGTAGACTTTCTGGAGATGTTCTTCATTGAGTTTCTTACACTGCCTTCT